AAATATGTTTCCAAAAAAAGAGTTGTGATCGTTTCATGTTACATTTGTTATGTCACAGCAGAACCTGTAAAGTTAGTAAAATTCTTGTACTCAAATTCGGATATCTCTAGCCGCTGGATGAGAAAAAAATTACTTTTTCACTGAATGGGGACAGTTTAGTCTGTACCACGTGTTTCTTTTCCCTTTTTCACTAAATTTATTTTAGCATTTTCACGCACTTCACGGGTAAAGTGTATGAATGACCACCAGGCTTGAAAGGATATTTCATTATTCTTGTGCTAGTTACACACTTTTAATGTTTGATATTGTTGAGCTTTCGCATGGAAGGTGTCACTGGAGGATTTTTTAATGGAGTAGTTTGATCTATTCTTTATTAGCGTCGGTTGTGTAGAGGTTCAGAAATGCCTGTCTTCTCTGTATTTTCTAAAGGGATGACGAAATGACGTGGTTGAAAAATGCACTCTGGGAGAGTTGACTCTATTTGATTAATGTGAATTATTAATTTCATGCCTTATCCAGATTTCTCCTGGAAGATATATCACTCTTACATACAAAAAGAGAAGTGCTAATGTCTCATGTCTTTGTGCACATGTGATTTAATTGAGTGACCAGTCTTCTGTTTGTGTGCTGTTGGGTAAACAATATTTTTTGTTTAATTGTGAAACTTGTGTCCATTCTCTTTCCTCTAGTGGTGGCTGGTAATCAGGGAGAGTGGGGAGGCCCACATTGTCTATTACTATTTATGAAAGTATTTGAATAAATATTTTCAGAGATAATTTTGTATCTACGATACATAATACAGTGTATTATATTTCTATACTCATGACAACTACCCAGGGGCCCGGGCAAATGAAACCTGGTTATGCCTTAAAGCCTGCAAAGCATCTTTGAGCTATATCTTCATTTAATGATAAAAACCATAGTTTTTGGCTTTTCTTTGCATATAGACGCTTGATACATTAAGAACGACTGAAATAATAATTAATATGTATTTGCTAATTTATAGGTTTAATAGATATTTGTTGTTACTTTATTAATGTTTTTATGCTTATACTGTGAGTTAAAAATGGCTGGTGCTATGATTTGGCTTATGAGCTCGTTGCTGTCCTAATTTAGGATCTTATTTTTAATAAATTCTTGAAAATGTTAAAAAAGAGAGAGAGAGAGAAAGGGGGCCCGGCGAAGATGTTTGCCCCGGGGCCGTGTTGGCTCTCGACGTTCCTGGAAACGCGTCATTGTGCAGATGCATGTAATAATAAAGTGCACAATACTTACAAGTTAAATACTTTTCAAATAACTCTTCACTAATAAAATACATTTACATGATTATAAATTACCATATCAATTTTTTTTAAACTTGTGTAAAAGAATGCAAAAGTTCTTTAGAAAGGACAAGTGTCTGTAAAATGGAACTTGTGCTTCCATGTATAAGTCAAAAAATAAATATTTATTAAAGATTTTTTTTGCTTCATGTAATGGGCTTGCCATAGAATGTATTTTGTAAAAATAAATGTATACATTGCCACAT